GTCATCACGTTGTCTGCGACTGTGCATTCGTCGGTTTTTCCGTTTATTTCGCCGCTGACCCTCATATCCGAGGGTTGTTGCTTTATCCGCAACCGGTGGACGCGTTTGGCGGCATCTGACCTTGCCTCGACACTAATATTGAATGGAATTTATAATGAAAACTGATGACATATTTTTAGTGAATCAGATTCATACCGCATAATTACCTCAATGGCTCTTGCTCGATCTTCTGCCCTTGCTCGAAGGTGAGTGTTGGAGTTCATTTATTGAATAACTTGAAAATCAAACAGTTTGTTTTACTAATCGAATAATCCAGAGAATTTTATATTTCTGCATACGGTAGAAACATAGTTTAATAAAATGCACAGTATGTATTAAACATAGTTTAATCCATGCCACCATTGAAGCATTCTCTGAAAGACGCTTCCTTTCCAACCGAAAGAAAGAAGGAATCTTAAAAAGTATGCGGATTTATAACTGAAAAATCGATACTCGAATTGAAATGTGGAAGTTAATTTTATGCCTTGCATTTTAATGATGTTTTACGTAAGTACTTGCTTTGCTGTTGTAGTCTACACATTGTGAAGTACAGCTTGGCATCGTCATGCGTTCGATACCTCTCTGGGCCGCAGTTAAGCGATGTGTTTCCTACGGAAAGATGTGACTGCAAACTGCGAGGTTATGACGTCATCAATAATGCCCGTTACAACAAAGTAAGTTGTCTCTGCTTCTGTTAGTCCTTATTCTTCTTTAATTAATATTTTTTAGGGGATGGCATTTTCGAGAAAAGAACGGCAACTGCTGGGTTTTAACGGTTTGATGCCTGCGGCCGTCATGTCCCAGGAGAAACAGTGTCAACGGGTACTGCTTAATTTGGCGGACCAACCGAACGATCTGTACAGATACATGGTTTTAAATGCTCTGCAGGTATGTATAGCGTCCTTATATGTAATTTGTTTGTTGACATTATCATCTTGAACCGTTTGCATTAGCAGAACGTTTCTGATTTGTGACGTCTTTTGTATTCACAGCTTCATATAAGACACCGAACAGTGCATCGTAGATTCTTACATTCTTATCCGAAAGCAGCAAATCTACCTCTGCTTTGTTTCGCCATGTTGCACGTTGGCCCCCGGGCTGATTCTGACTTGTTTTAGTTCCCACACGAGCAGCTCATTGATTAGAATAAATGGTTTATGCTCAACCGGTGTCTAACATGGCCAACCACATCTTAATCGCCACATCGGCAGAGGTCATCCGTGCGCGGAAGAGAATGGAGTCATCCGCTACCTGCTCCTACTACTTAACCCTCTTTATCCGTCGAAGTGAACCCTGTTCAATAGTTGTTCTTGCTCTTTGTTTGGAACAACAGTCTCCATACTACCGTACTAATGTATGTGGAGGTTTGTAATAACCTTCATTTTGCATCATTGGGGTTTAAAGTGACAACTGCTGAAAAACAGCTTTGTCTACATACAGCTTTATTGCTTTAAGATCGGGGCCATTTTGCTAGCGGTCTCAGAAATGTTGCTTTCCTTGCAGAAAATCGAAAATTTATATACGAGAGGTATGGTTCGGCTATTTTCTGTAGCCCTTAATATGGAAGGAATAACCTTCAGACTCTTTGAAAGGATGTATGATCGTGATGGATATACGTTTACCTTCAAACCCAGCAGTTACTTTCTGGCCGCGAGAACAGCTGCTAAAAGGTTTTTTCAGTTGTCCAGGTCTTCTGCCAACCCAGCTAATTCAGTGATCAGGATTTCAAGCCATTCACTGCCAGATCTTCTGTAAAGTCAAGCCAGTTGGTTTGCGGTCTGTCTTTGAGCTGTCTTCTCTGTGACTTTGCAAAACTAATTTTACGAGTAAATATACGTTTCCATAAAGTTGATCCACTGCTACAGGCGAAATTTGGTTTTTTTAAGCAATGATGTCTGGTGTCAGATGTGCGACAGTGGTTGCTCGATAGAAAGAATTAACATGCTCATGCAGTGTCTTTGAACTGGATCGCGTGCCCACAGTCTCACTGCGGTTTCTGAGATGACAGATTCATTCAAACGGATCCATGCATTCCATGGTAGACGAGGTGTGACACATCTAACAGCTCAAATCGCTTTTGGCTAAGGACACTCGTTTGGTTCAGAAGTATTGACTGGCTTTTGGCAGACTTTAGGAAGCTCTGAGAAATATGGACCGATCGGATTCTAAAATCAAATTGGAGATCAAAATTTTGCAAACAGCCATAACCATATGTAATATCATAGGGCTATGTTCTATACCGAAGCTAGTCTTATTGAGGGAGCCTGAACGAGGAATTAGATGCCGACAGTCAGCTGTTCGAGGAAACTGTTAGTATAACTCAAGTACCTACACCATCACTGGTTTTACAGACAGCTCAAGATGAAAATGGATCTATTTTAAGAACTTTTGCATAGTGAGAACAGTCTTTTGTTCGAACTCGCGTTGAATGACAACATATGACTTAGAAACACCTTGGAGGAAAACCTGTGTGTGACTAGGAATACGAATACGACTTTGTCACAGCAGTGGATAGCGGCTTATTGACAGATGTCAAGTATCATTCTCTTTTAAAAGAGATGACGGGATCGTCAGTCAGGCGTGGTCTAGGTCTTCCGTCCTTTTACTTTTTAGGTGGTCATCTTCCATCTGGAAAATGGGTGGCATGATAAAATGACTTATCAGTGTTTGCTTTGAAAGCGATAGTGTAGACACTATCCGACAATTTATCCTTCCAGTATTTTATTCGGGACATCATGAGCGAGACCGTTTTAAACAGCTGACTCTCCTGTCTGCAATCTGCTCTTAAGCTTATTAAATCTGTACAATAATCAGAAAAAGCAACAGCCAATTGTTTTAGCCTTTTGCTATGATATCCCTTAGTGATACGAGCAGAGAACGAGTTTCGAACCAAGTTGCTCTAGTAATCCAGTAGCTTCATAAATAACTCTTACCGGATGCTTCACAGTGTGGTATAAAGATTTGACCATTTTGTTTTTCCAGAACAGCTCTTTCTGATGTTCATTTCACGTAACCAGTCAAAGCATTTAAATATAATTCCGTTGAAAAACACGTAATCTTTAGATTCCTTGATAGCCGTTGCCTCTTTAGTTCACAGCTTCAGAGTTCATGGCAGGCTTTCACAGGCTATTGCAGCAAATGTGAATGATAATACACTATTATTTTGCTTTGCCTCTCCATTTGAAGCCATACTTTGATCATTAGTCGGTTTCCACGACAAGTACATGTACATCAGCTTTGGTTTATGAGAAGTATCGAAACAGTTCTAACAGTCGAAAGCGTAATGCCGATGGCGACATGGTTAAGTGTGCCGCTGAAATGTAACAATTTATTTTTATTTATATTAAATGTATTCTTTTCGTTTATATTAACTTCGAATTCTTTCATCTTAAACTCCATTGATTTACTATTTTCTTTTAATGACTGAAACTCATAGGACCGAAACGAAAAGTTGTTTTATCGCGTTATCTGCGAGAATGTTGACCAGCTAATGCCGATTGTATACACACCTACTGTTGGCCTGGCATGCCAGAAGTTTGGTCTTATTTATCAAAAACCAAAGTAAGCGCTCAGTTATGGTAGTGTCGATTCTGAGTAAGTGTCATCGAAAATATTCTTTCGTTCTTTCATATCATTACAATATTTTCGCAATATTTTCACAATATTTTATCTTTATAGGGGCCTATATATCACGATTCATGATAATACGGTGGAAAGAATTTATCACATTTTATCCAACTGGCCTGCTGTCGATATAAGGGTAAATATTCTCTATTTTTCATATATTTGTTCTCTTAATAGTCGATTAGTTTGTTGTAAAGGAAGAGAAAAACCGACAGAAGAAATAGCGTAGTAGTTTAGGCAATTGTTGTTACCGATGGCGAGCGTATTCTTGGCTTGGGTGATCTTGGTGCGTACGGTATGGGTATTCCTGTAGGTAAGCTGTCGCTTTACGTCGCTCTGGCTGGCGTACAGCCGTCGTGGTGCTTGCCGGTAGTGCTTGATGTTGGAACTGATAATCAGGTACTTAGGGTGTTAGATTCATTCCTCGTATATTGTTTACCTATTAGTCTCTTCTGGACGACCCATTCTACATCGGGTTGAAACATAAGCGAATACGCGGCGACATTTATTATAATTTCATCGACAACTTCCTAAAGGCTGTAGTAAAGCGGTGAGTATATCAAT